CCTTTACGTTCATTTATCTTCATCTGAAGTAGATCTATGGATATTACTCAACAGACATATTGTCCTCTGTAACCTCAAAGAATATTAGCCTATACAACAAGGCCAAAAAATTAAAATAAGTTAATTTTAATGGAAATCACTAGATAGAAGACAAAATTTGACAAAAATGGAAAGTTGCAATTCATAGTATAATACTATATTCACCGTCAAGTTGCTAAGAATTACTGAATACAAACACATCATCACCAGGATGCCAAATACTGGGGGAATAAAATTAGGGGCTAACAGGGCTTCTGCACATTCTAAGTTTTATAACTGAATCTAACAGTTTTATAGTGTCATGGCAACGTGTGCTAAATCACACAAGGTTGGCAAAAGGAGAAGGAAAGTATAGTGATTGCAAAAATATTCTTACTGTAACTAAACTCTAAGGAGCTACTTAGTTAGGCATATACAGTTTCTCAAAACTAGTGTCATTATCACGGGGAGGTCTATAATGAAGCAACAGTTTAGAAATTTTAATGCTTGTAAACTTTATCAGGAGAGGAAAACACAAAAATATTACTCAACAGAGAAAGAACCACATTGATTATCTTTGTATGCTTGCTTTAACAACATTCAAGGGAAAAAAGACAAAGAAATGAAAGGAAGCTGGCAGTTAAAAAAATTGAAGCAGGGCACCTGGATGGCTCAGTTGGTTAAACCACTGCCTTTGGCTCAGGTCATGATCCTGGAGTCCCGGGATGGAGTCCGGCATCGGGCTCCCTGCTTAGCAGGGAGTCTGCTTCTCCCTCTGACCGTCCTCCCTCTCATGCTCTCTGTCTCTCATTCTCTCTCTCAAATAAATAAAATCTTAAAAAAATTTAAAAAAAAATTGAAGCATTATGGTATGTGATTCTTAATAGAAGATGTACTGGAATCAGCTGGGGGAGTATTTCTAACATACCCTCCACCATTCTGCTGAGGCAGATCCATGGGAATGAGGGATGGGTAGCTTTAAACACTTCCTCAGATGACTCTAAGTAAGATTCTCAATTGAGAAATTTTAAAAGGGAAAATAAAAATGAATTACAGACACAGCCCCTTTTGTCAATTCCTACTAAAATATAGTGATTGCCTCACCCAATAACCACATTTCATTTTCATGATCTCTTCGACCTGGTTGCTCATAGTTAATCAATTACTTATTTTTAATCGCTGTTGATTTTCCTCTCCTAAATATTTAGAATTTGTCTACCTGTTTACCTTCAATATTGCCACCATAGTTCGGGCAATTATCGTCTTTCTCATAGACAACTCTAATAACCAGTTTCCCTACATCAGCATATACCCTCTGTGTACCCCACCCCCAGAGAGAAAGTTTAGACTTGAAAATCTGGTCAAGCCACTACCCTACTTAAAACTTCTCAATGGGTTCATGTTCCTAGACTGAAGATCAGAATCATTCACATGACCTCTGAGATCCTGCATGAACCTGGCCTCTGCTTACCTTACCTGTGTTGTCTTAAGCTCCTCTAATTGCAGTAGCATTCTTTCAGTTCCTTGCACTTGCCAAGTTCCCTGTGCCTTGCATGGCCTTTGTATATGCTGTTTGTTCTGCCGGCATGCTCCTTTCTCCCTTTCAGAGCTCAGTTCAAACATCCAATGCTCAGGGTAATCTTCTCTGAAAGACTACCCATCATCCCACGCTCATCTCCTATTATAAACTTTATTAATTATAACAATGGCTATATTATTTACTGAATGCTTGTTATGTGCTAGGCATTGTTTTCTTATATTAATTTATCCTTACTATAATCCTGTAAGTAGGTGTTTCATAAATATTTTTAACTATATGCATGAACACATGAATGAATGAATGAGATGAGATTAAAACGCTGAAATTTCACATATATTTTAGGAAATATCTGCCTACTTTGAAGGATTTTATGATAGCGATTTGCAAATACTGAGATCACACTCAAAAATAAGAAAATGTCAAGAATTTGAGGGAAGTGTTACTTAGGAAAGGTATGAATTCTCAAAGCTTTGATAGCTCTCATAAGAAACTATGTTTAATCAGATAAAGAATACTTGACTGTAACTGGAATGAAAACATACTCATCGCTACAGTCTATAGATTTCTACGAGCGGAAGTGCTGAGTCAGTAGGTGTAGGCATTTAACTCTTATTAGGCAGAATTGTATTCCTTCCAAAATGGAGAGAAATTTACAGTCTCTTCAATAGCATACAACATTTTTAAGATAGATATTAAATCAATTTCCCTTTTAAATCTGTTTTATTTGCTCAATTTTCCTATATAGATCATTCCATGAGGAAAGCATAGTACCTACATTTACAGCCTAAACATTACTCATCCTATGGTACTGTATTGCAAACATGACTTTCATGCTTATCTTAAATAAAGGGGAAATTGTATACATAATTTTAACAAAACAAGAACACAACCAGGAGACTAGAACAAAATCAGTATGGGGAATGCAGGCCTATTTTATAAAATCATTCAGAATATATGTATGTACTATCAAATTCCCACAAAGCCTAATATGTAACTGAGAGAAGGTACACAACATACAACTGTTTTCATATTCACTGACTCCCAAAGGACATCTAAAATTCGGTTCTGTTTTAAAAACTACTGCCTGTTTTTGTGATGAGAATAAAATTAAGCTGCACCACTTCTACTCCATCATACTTTGGTATTGAAATCCTAGGTAGATGACAACTGAGAAGGATCAGAAGGATTAACAGGTTGGTAATCATAAACTGCTCTGCAAACAAACTAGGGCAATTTAAACTCTAAAAGTCGATGTCAAGAAAACTACTTTATTATGCCAATCATTCAAAAGTTTGTCATTCTTTTCCTGTATCAGAAGTTCATAAAACTTTTTTCATACTCTGGCTAACTCTCTGCCTTTAAATGCCCTGACCATGCATGTATCAGTTTTATTCTGAATCTAAATTACTCCATCTAAATCAGACATCATATATCGGAGTTGTTGCTCAAACAACAGTAATTTTTTCTTTAAGATTTTATTTATTTATTTGTCAGAGAGAGAAAGAACACAAGCAGGGGGAGTGGCAGAGGGAGAAGCAGGCTCCCCGCTGAGCAAGGAGCCCAACGTGGAGCTCAATCTCAGGACCCCAGGATCAAGACATGAGCTGAAGGCAGACACTTAACTGACTGAGCCACCCAGGCGTCCCAACAATAGTAATATTTTAAATAATTTGCCAGAAGTAACTATGTTAAAAACATTTTACTTAAAATATCTACCAAGAAAAAATCAAAAGCAGAGCATGCAGAATTCTGGTAATGGCTCCATCATCTAGCAGTTGATGTGGGATGTTCAAAGAAAGTAAACATCACTACATCTAGGAATAGTCTATTCTAAAGTTAACTTCTTTTACCAAGACATTTTTAAGTCTTCTTTAGAACAAGATAAAGAATATTAAAAAATCAGGGCGCCTGGGTGGCTCAGTTGGTTAAGCGACTGCCTTCGGCTCAGGTCATGATCCTGGAGTCCCGGGATCGAGTCCCACATCGGGCTCCCTGCTCAGCAGGGAGTCTGCTTCTCCCTCTGACCCTCTTCCCTCTCGTGCTCTCTATCTCTCATTCTCTCTCTCTCAGATGAATAAATAAAATCTTTAAAAAAAAAAAAAAAAGAATATTAAAAAATCAGTAGGCAAATATATAAGCAAATTTATTAGTAAGAGGAAGGAGGAGTATAACCATTTACTTCTAAAGGAAAGTAAATATCAGAATTTGGGACCTGGAAGGCATAATATATATCCTCTCATTGTTGTAATGAGAAACCACCATAGATACAATACCCACTCAGTATGAAGTTCCAAGTGGATTCCAAGTGGAATTCAGTGCATCAATGTAATGTTTTAATTTCATATAGGAGTATATAACTAAAAAATAATAAATTAATAAATCATTTACCCATTGACTTCAGACTTGTGTCCATTTAGTTGAGGCTGAAGGACTATCATTTTTTATTTTTAAAACTAGGTCTTGGGGTGCCTCGGTGGCTTAGTCAGTTAAATGTCTGACTTTTGATTTCAACTCAGTTCATGATCTCAGGGTCGTGAGATCGAGCCCTGTGTTGGGCTCCACACTGGGTGTGTGGAGCCTGCTTAAGATTCTCCCTCTGCCCCTTCTCCACCCCTGCATGTGCATGAGCTTGCTCTAAATAAATAAATAAAGCTAGGTCTTGTTCTATCCCTGTATTTTAAAGGGGCTGCTAGCCTTTTCAACCACTAAAATGAAGTTAATAAACTTTGAAACTCTGCTGCCAGATACATTAATTGACCTGTTCATTCAATCTCTAAGTAATTCATTTGTGCATTCTTTAGTCCCTCTGTCTATCCATCCAACCGTTTCTCCAACCATCGAATCACATAGTGTGTATACCATTAGACTTAACATTAGACTTCCTACACCTGCAATTGGCCATCAGAGTTATTTCACTCTCTCCCACCATCTCTTTCCACTTTTTAATGCTCTGGAAGAACCCCAGCAGTGAAAGAAAACTTCCTTTTTTGCTTACATGAATGAGAGGATACTTCTGGAGCTCTGTGAAGACTGTTAGAATACACAGATGATAATCTCTTCTATCAGACATGTACATCACGGAAAAGTTTAATTACTGATTAAAGTTATTTATTTTACCTGGAATGTAGATGCCACTGAGTCATACACATACGATCTAAAATGGTTTCATAGTATTCCTGCTTAGGTTCCATATCAATCCCAACTTTTAACTTCCAGAAAGATGTCAATATTGTATCTAACACTTTTGCTTAAACACTTTTGTCCTCGTGTCTTCGCACATGCTGTTCCTCCTGCTTGGGGTCCCTCCCCACCACCCTTCCTATTGTCTTACCTTCCTTCATAAGCAAGCTCCTACTCATCTCTCAAATTTTAGAAGAGTTAAAAGCCAACAAAAAAGTTATTAGAGTTAGGTTAAGGCAGGGGAACCATTAGGAAATCTCACCTGTATCTTGTGCAAGTACCGTTCTGTCCTGATGGAGCTACTGGTTTAAAAGTGATGCGTGGGGAAACCTGCGCTGACAGCAGAAATCCCAAAGCAAGAACTAGGAGTGCTACAGTGGTACCTAAAAAAATAAAAATAAAAAAAATAAAATTAAAAAGAAGTTTTACATCAGAGAATAGTTGGCAACATTTTTTCAAAGCAGACTGGGTTTGGCAAGACATACCTCTGAAAAAAATACTTTTACTTTTATTGGATTATTAAAAAAAAAGTGTTCCTAATATATATATACAGATTATCAGAAAAAACTCTCTAGCACATTCACTGTGAAACATGACAAGAGTGAAATTCAAAGCAAATATATTTGCTAGCCAAGCAGAGGACTGGTAATGATTTTAACAAACAAACAAACAAACAAACAAACCAAAACAAAAACAGGGGCGCCTGGGTAGCTCAGTCAGTGAAGTACCTGCCTTCAGCTCAGGTCATGATCCTGGGGTTCTGGGATCAAATCCCACATTGCGCTCCTAGCTCAGCAGGGAGTCTGCTTCTCCCTCTGCCTGCCGCTCCCCCTGCTTGTGTGCTCTCTCTCTCTCTCTCTCTCTCTGACAAATAAAAATCTTCAAACAAGAAACCTTGGATTGCTGACAGTCTCACAATGAACTAATGCAACAAGTGTGAGTGCCCAAGATATCAAAAGTATGAAAGGCAACAGACTCACACCAAGTGTTGCTCACGTTGCCAAGAAAATTGTTCTAATGGCGTTCATTGTTTAAGGTCCCAAATCAGTACACTAAAAACAAACAAACTGAACACTTCCAAAAGCAGCTGAGAGAACATTTCTTATTAAACAGGAGTAGCATTCTTTCCTCATGAGTTGAAGGTGCCAGAAAGGATCTAGCACATGTATTCATTTCTTTCCTGCTGGGGTCTGGAAGCAGAATCTTTCAATTATAGAAACAGTGATTATGTATATCACTTAAAAGGCTCACTTTTGAGTCCCGGAGAGACATCCTGACAGTAAAAAAGAAAGTTTTCCAATTTCTGACTATTGTTCCAGCCACTGAGAGGATACACAGTCACAGGAAGAAAGAAAATATGATTGTAATAATTTGTACAATCAATTTGAATGGGGCAATGTGTTTAAAATAGGGAATTTAGGGAGGGCATTTCAAAGTTTTTATTGATTAAACTGGGAGGTAAATTTAAGATATGACCAAAAACATTATTAAATGAATGGATAAAAGGAGAACTTTGGGAAGCACTGTGCAAGCACAGTGATATTATATAATGGCTAAGGTGTGTATGTTTAAGATGCAGGGGATGTGTCTAGTTAAATGCTGGAGTTATATTCCAGTTCTGCCATTTCTTGATTTCTGTGATCTTGGGCAAGGCACAGGACCTTTCCAAACTTCAATTTTGTCTTCCATAAAATGGGGCTTAGTGAAAATACTCACCTTGAAGAACTGCAGCGAATTTTAAATATCCTAATGCATTTCAAGGATTTTGAAAATGCTATAAAAAGTTGAAGGAAGGGGGAGGCCTGAAGGGGAGATAAGATGTCTACTTTTGCCAAACTGGATCAAAAAAGCCATGAACCTAAAATCCAGCTTGTTTGCCCCTTGCTGGCTTAAAACTCAAACCAGAACTAGGAATAGTTTGAGGAATTTCTTTTCTGAAAGGACTATCAGAGCCCTGAACTGGGAAACTTAAAAGAAGTCTTTTAGAAAGAGAGGAGATATATTAGGTTTATTACGAAAATCATCCCTCTCTCTTCAAACAAAACACACCTTGAATTTTACTGTAAATTTGCCTATCACAGAACCTGGGTCCTTACCTATTACCCCAAATTACTTCCATGGCGTATTGTTGTGGGGAAGGGAAGATTATTTTGAATCTGGGAATTGTGATACTTTAAGATATGAAGGAAACATGATACGTTTCTTTCATAATGCTTATTAAATAACCTGTCTTCATGATTATATTTATAAACTCTAAGATAGTGTGCCCAGCACATACTCACATACATCCGGTTCTAAGGCCTGGCGTACAGTAGATCCCTAGAAGTACTGGTTGCATTAATGAATGGACCACAGCGCCAAAGATTTTTGTAATATTGAATATTTTTGAAAAAACCCCAAAATCTTAAGACTACCCAATTGAGGTCATCGGGTTAGAATGTGATATATACTCTAGCTGAGAGTTCTGCAGCACATTACAATGTATCTCTTGCATCCATCTCTAATAATGTCCAACTTACCTGCAAAATATGGTGAACTGACCATTCTGGATGCACAAAATTCCTGAAAAGCTGACGATTCAACCCTTCTTAAGCACAAGTTTTATTTTATTTTAATGCATTTTGGATAACAATCCTTTAAAAGTCAGTATTACACCTTTATATTCTTTACTATATATAGCAGTGTTTCTCAGTTCTGATTTCCTATTGGAAGCAAATGCTTGGGATGTATATAAACCTCTGACTCAGAGTCTCCAGAAAATGGGGATCGGATATCTGAGTTTTAAACAGCTCCCCAGGTTATTGGGCATCCCATATGCCTGGGCATAACTTATTTTATACATATGCATAAACACACACACATATATATGAGATATATAATTAGTAAAATAAACTCTTTTAAAGATTTATTTACTATTTGAGAGAGAGAGCACGTGCATTGGGGTGGGTGAGGAGAGAGGAAGAGCTGAGTCTTAAGCAGACTCCTCCCTGAGCACGGACCTGACGTGGGGCTCCATCTCATAACCCCAAGATTACAACCTAAGCCGAAACTAAGAGTTGGATGCTTAACTGACTGTGCCACCCAGATGCCACAATAATAACTTGTAAAATAAACTTTTAAGATGATAAACTCCTTAAGGGAAAGGCATCGTATCTTTTTTTTAAATTTTTTTATTCTTATGTTAATCACCATACATTACATCATTAGCTTTTGATGTAGTGTTCCATGATTCATTGTTTGTGCATAACACCCAGTGCTCCACGCAGAATGTGCCCTCTTTAATACCCATCACCAGGCTAAACCATCCCCCCACCCCCCTCCCCTCTAGAACCCTCAGTTTGTTTTTCAGAGTCCATTGTCTCTCATGGTTCGTCTCCCCCTCCAACTTACTGCCCTTCATTCTTCCCCTCCTGCTATCTTCTTCTTCTTTTTTTTTCTTAACATATATTGCATTATTTGTTTCAGAGGTAAAGATCTGTGATTCAACAGTCTTGCACAATTCACAGCGCTCACCATAGCACATACCCTCCCCAATGTCTATCACCCAGCCACCCTCTCCCTCCCACCCCATACCACTCCAGCAACCTCAGTTTGTTTCCTGAGATTAAGAATTCCTCATATCAGTGAGGTCATATGATACATGTCTTTCTCTGATTGACTTATTTCACTCAGCATAACACTCTCCAGTTCCATCCACGTCGTTGCAAATGGCAAGATCTCTTTCCTTTTGATGGCTGCATAATATTCCATTGTGTATATATACCACCTCTTCTTTATCCATTCATCTGTTGATGGACATCTTGACTCTTTCCACAGTTTGGCTATTGTGGACATTTCTGCTATAAACATTGGGATGCACGTACCCCTTCGGATCCCTACATTTGTATCTTTGTGGTAAATACCCAGTAGTGCAATTGCTGGAACATATGGTAGTTCTCTTTTCAACTGTTTGAGGAACCTCCATACTGTTTTCCAGAGTGGCTGCACCAGCTTGCATTCCCACCAATAGTGTAGGAGTGTTCTCCTTTCTCAGCATCCCCGCCAACATCTGTCGTTTCCTGACTTGTTAATTTTAGCCATTCTGACTGGTGTGAGGTAGTATCTCATTGAGGTATTGATTTGGATTTCCCTGATGCCGAGAGATGTTGAGCACTTTCTCATGTGTCTATTGGCCATTTGGATGTCTTCTTTGGAAAAATGTCTGTTCATGTCTTCTGCCCATTTCTTGATTGGATTATTTGTTCTTGGGTGTTGAGTTTGATAAGTTCTTTATAAATTGTGGATACTAGCCCTTTATCTGATATGTCATTTGCAAATATCTTCTCCCATTCTGTCGGTTGTCTTTTGGTTTTCTGGACTGTTGCTCTTGCTGTGCAAAAGCTTTTTATCTTGATGAAGTTCCAATAGTTCATTTTTGCCCTTGTTTCCCTTGCCTTTGGCAATGTTTCTAGGAAGAAGTTGCTGCGGCTGAGGTCAAAGAGGTTGCTGCCTGTGTTCTCCTTTAGGATTTTGATGGACTCCTGTCTCACGTTTAGGTCTTTCAACCATTTGGAGTCTATTTTTGTGTGTGGTGTAAGGAAATGGTCCAGTTTCATTCTTCTGCATGTGGCTGTCCAATTTTCTCAACACCATTTGTTGAAGAGACTGTCTTTTTTCTCTTGGGCATTCTTTCCTGCTTTGTCGAAGATTAGTTGACCACAGAGTTCAGGGTCCATTTCTGGGCTCTCTATTCTGTTGCATTGATCTATGTGTCTGTTTTTGTGCCAGTACCATACTGTCTTGATGATGACAGCTTTGTAATAGAGCTGGAAGTCCGGAATTGTGATGCCACAGGCTTTGCTTTTCTTTTTCAACATTCCTCTGGCTATTCGGGGTCTCTTCTGGTTCCAGACAAATTTTAGGATTATTTGTCCCATTTCTTTAAAAAAGTGGATGGTATTTTGATGGGGATTGCATTGAATGTGTAGATTGCTCTAGGTAGCATTGACATCTTCACAAT